TGTGGGCTTCAGTCCACTTTTTTTTAGTTTTTATTTAAAAAGCAGTTCCTGAGAAGTGAAAAAATCCCTGCAGCAGGATGCACATGGGGGATAGGAAATATTCTTTAAAGAGAAAAAAAAATATTCTTTAAGCTGGAAGTCAGCATACTCATTTGTTCCACTACTGCAAACTGAGGTCACAGTATAGTGTTTAAGTGTAGTTCATTTAACAGTTGTCAGTGCAACTCTAATCATCCAAGATTTTGTGTTAGCTAGATGGATGCTGGCATAGAAAGTTTCTTGAGAAAATCTGCAGATGACAAAGCTGGAAAGGGTTGTGAACTTGGAAGATGCAAGCGCAATTCAGAGGGATACTGACAGATTGGAAAGCTGGGCTGGAGCTAACACGATGAAGTTCAATGCTAACTAACGCAAGGTGCTACACATTGGGAAGAATAATCAAAAACACAAATACAAAAATGGGGGACACCTGGCTGCATGGCACCTCAATGTTAAAGAACTTGAAAGTCTCAGTAGAATCACAGACTCAATATGAATCTGCAGAGTCATACAGCCACACAAAAGGCAAATGTGTTTCGGGCTGTATCAATAGAAGCATTAGGTGCAAGACATGGGAGGTGATAGTGCCTCTACTTGGCACTGGTTAGGCCTCATCTGGAGTACTGTGTGAAGTTCTGCGCTCCACATTTTAAAAAGAACATGGAAAAGCTAAAGAGAGTCTAGAGGCAGATGACAAAGATAAAAGACTGGGAAGGCACGTCATATGAGGAGAAGCTGAAGGAGCTAGGCATGTTCAGCTTGTGGAAAAGGCACTTAAGAGGGGACATGACAGCAGTCTTCAAATACCTGAAGGGCTGTCATAGAGAAGAGATAAAGCACCTTTTCTCTCACCACAGAGAAGGATGTGGACCAACAGCTTGACGTTGCAACGAAAGTAAACTTATACTGGGCATCTGGAAAAGCTTCTGGGATGGCTTTAAGGATGATCCTGCTTCAGGCGGGGTGTGAACTAGACTTCTGGAGGAGTCTTTCAGCCCTACTTTTCTATGACTCCTTTGTATCCTTTTAAAAAAGGAAGAAATCCCACAATACTTTTCTTATCAGTTGTGTTTTTTAGACCTCTGATACTTTTTGTTGATCTTCTCTGGATTCTTTCAAATTGATCAGCATCTTTCTTAAATTGTGGTGCCCCAAAACAGACATGATGCATCAGCTGAGCCTTTACACCAGTCCTAGTAGAGCAGAATTATTTCATATTCCCTTTGTACAATACTTGTCTATACATCTCACTATACAGTTGGCCTTTTTAAGAGTAAGTTTATATCCTTTTCAAGCAACCAAAATCATGAATAAGAACACTCTATTCAATGCAGGTGTTCTTACTGTTTCTGTAGATACCAGTCAAGACAAGCTTGGGTTTGACTTCCTAGACCAGTGGTTCCCAACCTTTTTTTGCTGCAACCCACTGCTGGGAGCAGAATGCAGCAGCGGTGGCAGCCAAGGGCAGGAGCTCCCACTACACGGTGCGGTTTGTCCTTTGTGTGCACAACCACCGGCATTACCCCCGCGACCCTCATTTGGGAACTGCTTCCCTAGACCAAACCAAAACATGACCCTTGCCTTAAAAAACCCCCTCAAAGTCTAAGTATAGAATGAGATTACTAGAAGATGCAGACAGATCAGGAAACGCATGCAACCACAGCAATTATAATCAGCATAAAGTTCATTTTATTCCATTTATCAGAAATATCCTTAGGACACTAATTAGGTGACTAGTCACCATGAATTTAGGTTGCTCCATGCTTTACTGGAACAGAGACAGAGGCACCATTAGAATCCCATGGAAGGCTCAATATGGCCAGATCTGAATGATTATCTGTTTCAATGTCTGGTCCTTTAGCTCTATTGCAGGAAGATGTTTGAGACCCAGTTAAAATTCTCCAGAAGTAAATCAGGAGTTTAATTTTGAAGAGTAGCATTATTTCAGTTTCAAGCTAGTTTTATAACCAAAAAGTTTCTTGATTCTTCTTGTCTTGGATATTTGTTTGTATTGCTCCTAATATATTAGGACACCACTTCCAATATCAATTAAATTTTTTCTCAGCTGGTCTTTTTCCATCAAATGTTTCTCAGGGATCAAATGTTCATTTAATGCGGGGGTGGGCAAAATGCAGCCCATGGGCCAGATGCAGTCTGCCAAGCCATTCTATCCAGCCCACAGTGCCCCTAAAAAATTTAGAAAATTAATATTATCTGCCCTGGGCTGCCTGTCATGCGGCCCTTGATGGCTTGCCAAAACTCAGTAAGCAGTCCTCCGCCCAAAATAATTGCCTGCCCCTGATTTAATGGCATAATGGGATCTGACCTTTGATCCCAACACTCAAGTCCTGCCATGCTGTATTTCCATTACGGGGCAGTCCCAGATCTACTAGACACATGCCACATGTTCAGTTGAAGGTTCAATACAAGCCAGCCACAAAAAGATGTCCCATATCAAATGTGGAACATCTCTGTGGCTAGCTTTCCCTGTTATAGTACTGTAAATTTGGGTACACGTGTAGCATGTTACAATTTATGGTACAATGAACACATTAATCATGCCATAATTGTAATGTGTGCCAGAGCCTTGAGAGAAATCCCAGAGGATTCATTAAAGTATGGTAGATAAAGGAAAATTTAAGCTGCAAGCTCTGAGACTATTTTTACTTTGTACAGATACAGTGTACCTCTAGAATCTAAACACTACAAAGACACCCTCACCAATAATCACTTATCTTTCCCTGCTGTTTTTTAAGCTAACTTACTCTTGCATTGTCAATGTAAACTGCAGCTGTTGCATTAGAGTTAATAGTATCAACTGTGTCTAACTCAGACCCAAAACAAAGTTCAAGTTTACTCCACTATCAGCTCATTCCCTCTGCATTAAAGAAGTTCCAGAGTGAATACACCAGCTTATGTGCTACTTCTCAAATTTATCTACATTACTAACAAGCTGACAGGATTGATGAAGCCTATCTGATCATATTTAATCAGACTAAGCACCATAAAAGGAAACAGTTGGTCAATAATTTATTCTTATTCTTAAACAATATAATTAAGGATATTGGTAGGTATGAGCTGTCACAAGACTGGATCTCTACTTGATCACAAAATGAAAGAAATATCTCCCTGGTTCACTATAACAGATGAATCCAAAACTCACTAGTAACACAGCTGCCCATATATCTGGCTATGTGTGTTAAAATAAAAAATCCAAAACTCTGTTTCATCACAACTAAGTATACAGGTTTCTCTAAAGACCCAATGGCAGTTGCTTTCTGTATAACCAAATATTTAAAAATTATAGCTTATTTTATAAATACTTTGAAATCAGTCTCTATAAAGACTGACATACTTTAATTGGAAATTATCCATAACACTTTTTCAGTATTCTTAATTTTCACTGCTATTGGAAAAAAAATTAAACTCTCATGTCAAATCAAATGAAAACCAAAACAAGTTTTGCCTGAAATTCTACTGGTAACATCCCAAAAAAGTTAAAGAATTATTGATTAGTTATCTGTTTTCTATCCCTCCTCAAAAGGAAACTGAAGCCTATGTAACTTAAATCATTATGTTCAGAAAAATGTGATGGGAAATTAATTTTATATTCTCTTAGCTGAAATTGTATTAGTTTAGTGAAGAATGTGTCAAGTTTATATTCCTGCTCCTCTTCTAGAAAATTATTCTTCAGTGTATTAGAAAAAGCAATGTCAGCATACGCACATTTAAGTACAGATGTTAAAAAACATTTCTGATACTGTTATATCCAATTATTTCTGGTGTCCTATCATTCACTACAATGAATGCCTTCACAGAAAAAGAAATGTTAAAAATAAGTATAAGTCACCTGCTTTCTGTTGTGAATTCTTAACTACACATCTATTTCTATGAACTTATATTGAAAAATGAATTTTCAGTACATTTTTGTAATTTTTACTAACCTTTGGCAGTTCCCATTCTGAACGTGATCCATCAGCACTGTAGTAATATGGTCTACCTTGTTCATCTACATGTTTTATCCACTGCAGAAATAAATAGAAAATTTAATAATAATGACAAGCAGCTAAATACCAGAGCATCAAGCTTCAAGTAAATGTGACTGTTTTACTTTCAAAATAAATGTGACTGTTTTACTTTCCAAATATTTCCATTGTACACAAACAATAAGGGTATAAAATTCTCCTTTTTTTCAAAACCTATACCCTCAAGTCACTTATTGTCATCCCTATAGCACAGTGCTGTTATGTCACAGCTACTGAAAATCTGGATTGAGTTGAGTTTGTTAGGTGAGCAAAGTGGATTTAAAAAACAAAATAAAATAAAATATATAGTACTCTTCGAAATGTTACGTTTAAAAAGCATTGAGAACTAAATGCAGAAACTTAACAGTGTGCCCTTGTTGCCAAGAAGGATAACGGCATACTGAGCTGCACTGGTAGGTGTGTTACCAGTAGGTCATGGGGAGTGATTATTTCCCTCTATCCAGCAGTGGTGAGGCCACATCTGGAGTACTGTGTCCAGTTTTGGGCCCCCCGCTACAGAGAGGACGTGGACAAATTGGAGAGGGTCCAACATAACAAAAATGATAGGGGGGGCTGGGGGACGTGACTTATGGAGGGAAGACTGAGGGAACTGGGTTTATTTAGTCAAGAGGAGACTGAGGGGATTTAATAGCAGGCGTCAACTATCTGAAGGGGGTGTTCAAGAAAGGATGTAGCTAAACTGCTCTCAGTGGTGGCAGATGACAAAATAGCAGCAATGGTCTCGAGCTGCAGCAAAGGGAGTTTAGGTTAGATATTAGGAAGAATTTTCTCATTAGGAGGATAGTAAAACACTGAACCAGGCTAGATGAAGCTTTGGCTCAGATGATTTAGTTGGGGATGGTCCTGCTTTGAGCAGCAGATTGGACTAGATGACCTCCTGAGGTCCCCTCCAACCCTAACTTTCTACGATAACCTTATTATTTAGTTAGGTACAGGACAGCCACAAGCTCAATCAAGGTTCCTGTAGAGTTAATAAATAAGTTGTAGAGCATTTCAGATATTATTGCACAAAAATACAATAAGGTATTTACAAAAGTATCAATAAGATATGTATCAAACATGGATATTGCTCTTAATCAAATAATGAAAAAATGTAATGGTGTTCTTCTGTAACACCTAGAAGCAGCCCTTTAAACCAGCATTTCTAAACCCATGGGTCATGACCACGAAGTGGGTCACAAGAATATAGGAAAGGGGTCACGAACAAACTTAAAAAATGGATTCTCCTTTTTTAATAAACATGGGAAACTATGGCTTGTCCCTTGCAGGTCGCCAGAGTTCCAGCCTTCAAGGACCTGCTTGTGGCCCCAATGCCCCACACTCACTCCCCCCCACACACACACTTGGGGGCTGTGGCCTGGGGGTGGGGAGCAGCAGGTTGGGAGTGAGGAGCACTGGGTCGGGACTGGGCACTGATATTTACAAATGGGTTCGGTACAAAAATGCTCGGGAACCACTGCTCTAAACAAATAGTACATGTTTTCTGTTTTTCAAAGGAAAAAAAAAAAAAAAAAGAGACCTAGCAAACAAAACTCTTTTTATAAACTGGCAAAGAGATGTTCAAAAGTATGTCCTTCAACCCATGAACCCATATTGTGGGCATCAGGTAAGGCATTTTACTATAAAGTCCAATATAAGTTTATAATGTTATACAACATTACTTAGCTAAATCTCAAGCAGTTGGAAAAAATCTGAATAAGAAAACAAATCTGTTCACAGTAAAATTCAGAACATTTCTAAAATAAATCTAATGCAGAAGTTACTACCATGTAAGTTTTGAGGAACTAAAGCAACAAACAGGACAGCACATTCTACAAAGAGATACAAATCACCTTAAAATTATTGAGTCTTAAAAAAAAGAGCTTTCAAATTTAAATACTGCAGTTAAAAAAAACCCAACACTTTACTGTAGATTAGTATATTACAGAAGCATACCTATTCCATGAACATTAAATACTTGTTTTTTTTCACTGTCCATTTTTACAAAGTAATCAATCTCAATACCAGCATTAGTGTGAACATAATAGGACAAGATTACAACTTGTTTTACAAAATAGGGCGAAAGCTCTATGCCTATTTTATAGATGTGAAAACTGATAGGTAAAATGTTGTCACAATGAATTAATGGTAGAAAAAGAACAAACAAAACGTCTCTCATGATGCTGCTGTGTTCCAATGACTAAAATTTTGCTGCCTCTCAAAGAAAAATTTTACAAGATTAAATAAACAAACTAATAAAATGGCCCATTATGCATGAAGAACTCTTCTGTACTACAAGGCAAAACACTGGCAAGAAGCACTTCCCTATAGCATCACAAGAGGATAAAAAAAATGATGCAATGCAGGTTTGTTTAAATTGTATATAATGTCCCAATTTTAGAGCTATCACTAGGAAAAACATCTTCATAGCACAAAGGTATGGCATGCATCAGGACAAACTTGGTTCAGTTGCCAAAGTTCTGTACTCACTGAAGAATAAAAGGAAGCTAGCATTATAGAAAAGCTTTACTACTAAAATAGAAACTTATATTAATAGAGATAATTAACTTTAAAGATTTAGACTACAAGTGACGAGAAGAAAGGAAAATGTACCTTTTCATTAGTATAGTCATTGGTATATAAGGTTTGACCATGTTCATCCAACTCTTCTGACCAACCCTTTGGAGGAGAACCATACTGACTATCTGACTGGCTGTAACAAGAACTGTGGTCGTTTTCTTCTGATGAAAGATGCTATAAGTAGTCAGAAACATACAAGGGAGTTTTGAGAATAAATATAGTTCAATATCTGAAAGAGATCAAAGTTTACTTGGCTAGAAATTGAAGATTTAAAAATGCAGTGATAATTTAAGGGAGTTTTATAGTTTTATTTAATACTTCAGGTCAGAAAATGAGAAGTGCATTTCTACCATTGAAAACCTTGATCATTGTCACTAGCTTGTTCAAAGATTCTGAGAGATCAGAACATAAAAACCACTGTTTACTTCCCATTGACATCAGATCTCAGATGACCATGCAAGTATTGCATTACAAAACCGTTTCAAATAACTTTGTTTTCTCAAGTGTTTTAGCCAGTAAGGCATCTACATTTTATTCATATACTTATAACTGACTTTATTGAGCTAACCAAATGATTCAGCTGGCAATAAGTTGTATTGTCTATGAGATCTGAGGATCAGATGCCTTTGTTTTTTAGAAGCCTGCTAGCTGTTTATAGCAAAATTCCTCCCCACCCCCAATTCCTAAACAGCATCATACTAAGGGCTTCCATACACCAAGAATTACTTGGAGCTTCAGCTGCACTTGCTTTATGTCCTAGCACTTCCTCACTGGACAGGTAATGGATGCTAGGACATTGCCAATTTCCATTAGAATCCCCCATTTTGAAATATACAGCAGTAAAGTCAAAGGAAGCTACACTCCAAGATCATCTTTTAAAGGTAAGGATGAAGTGGGAGCAAAAAAGACTACAGCAATAATTGATGGAAGATTGAGCAAAACCCCTCTAACTTGACCTCTTCTTTCACCTTATCTGCCCCCAGTATTCCTCTTTCTTAAAACACACACACACACACACACACACACACACACACACACACACACACACACATCTATCTGGGAATCAAGTGTACATTCTTTTTCCCAATACCAAGACTAGTAGAAATTATGCCAAATTATTGCTCCTTGAAGGAGAATGCACATTATACTACTCAACCAACAGTTAAGGCATGGCCATAAAAGACCAGCTAAAGAAAGGAAGGGACATGGTAAACAACACAAGTTTTGATGGTAAGCAGGAAGGGAAGCAGGGGGCGTGGGGGGGGGGTATATGCTCATCTTCAAAAAGATGCTTACAAGGTCCCAAGAAGAACTTTAATCCAATCCAATTAAAAATTAGTGATATAAGAACAGCTGAAATTTCTTAGATTTCTCGTATCTATTCAGTTTGCTAGAGAAGAAAAACAGTGGCTTTTGCTAACCAGGCATATCTACAGCCTTCAGTGTAGTTTTAATTTAATCAGTATCTAATCTTGCATTCCTTTTCGGCATACTTTACAATAGTGATTCTCAGCCAGGGAGCCACAGCACCTTGGGATGCACCTTGAAATCCTTTCAAGGGTGCAATACAATGTTACCACTGTTCAGTGTACGAATATGATTCACTAGATAAACCCAGAGATGTCAAATAAGATTTTATAAGGTTAAGGACATTCTGAGCTATTGTGTTCTTTCTAGGTTCCCTGGAACAGAAAAAATGCTCTATTACTTTTCCAAAGCCAAAAATGAGTTGGTATTTTTCCAAGGGACGCCTTTAGTCTAAAAAGGTTCCGGACTACTTCCTTCCTTCTCATGTCCACGTGACAAGGTATTTAGCAAAATTCGCAAATTCACTGGAATGTGATGACATGGCCACACTGTGAATAATTCAGCTATGGCCTTGAACTTGCAACCTCTGGAATAGCGACCATGTGTTGAGGACCACTCCTCTATAATGGCAATGTGATACAAGATGTGAATAGTGGGAGGTTAAGCTGGTCTCCCAAATGAATCCCAAACCTATCAAAAACCTAGACTTGTTTCTAGATGCTAAAAACAAAGCATACCAAATCTGATAATTCTGGAGGGCACATTCTCAAGAAAAGACTCATTCACTTACCATAAACTTAAAGCTCACTTGTGTACTGAGTTTGACATGGTAGTTTGTAGAGTTTAAAAAGAGAGTCTTTAGTTCTTCGAGTTCTAGTCTCTGCTTAGTCCTGGATATCAAGAACTATACTGAAATTACTGAGACAGCAGAGGAATACCAGCAATAGGCCAAACATGATTCAGTTTTACAGGATACCTTCAGGATCTATAGAGATTTTAGATCTATAACTTATGCTTTAATCGTGTCTTAAGTGTGCTGGCATTAAGCCAAATTAGCAGGCCATGGTCATTTTTAATATTCAGTTTTATCAAATAACTGAAGTGCATCTATATTTTGTTTCTGCCCTGTGATTACCTCCACTGAAGAAGTACTGTACAGCAGAAACCAAGCAGAAGCTTTGTTAACCTTGATTTGTTAACCATGCCTTAACCTTGATTTGCTTTGTTGTCTGTCTATCTACTCTTCTCTTAATTAATCCCACCCAAAAAGTATTTTACAAAAGCAAAGATCCTCAAATCCTACAAAAAACTGTGGTCCTAACAAGGTAACACAATAGCATTCCTTTATTCTCTCTCTCACCTAACTTGCCCAGATATAATAATAATGGCTAAGGGAGATTTTATTGCTAACACACACACCAATTATCCAGCTCTTCTGAAATGCACATGCATTTAATCGGCCAAATTATTGGCTGCATCAGGCCAATTTCTAATACAGCCAATATTCTTTATATCAGCACTGATCCAATATTGAATCAATGCATCGGCGCATCTCTAAAATCCACAATTAAAATGAAATGTGCGTGCGTGTGTACTGAATACAATGTTTTATTGATATACAATTTTAAAGCAATTTAGAAGCCCACTAGTGCCTTAAATCACTATAATAAAATAAATTCTACATAACTATACATTTTGGCATTTGATTTGGGTTGTTTTTTTTTTTAATCATGGAAAAATCAAAGCTCTCCCTGCCCTCTTTGCTCACCAAGACAGATCCAGGCCCCTCACTCCGAAGCCACAGTGCACCAGCCCTTCTGCTGCCCCTCACTCCCAACCCACAGCCCTCTGGCCCTGCTGGTGCCCCTCACTCCCCACTCAGTCCTATGCTTCTCACCCCTCCCCAGCCCTGTGAGAGGGCGCCCCCAGCTGCCAGGGCAATGGGGCCAGGGACCCATGTCCGCAGCCCCCTGCATCGCCGCAGCAGTGCCCAAGCCCTGGCTGCTGCCTGCAGGAGGTAGCAGCTGCTGTAGCAAAGCGCAGAGCCCAGCTCGCCCTCCCTCATGGATGGCATAGCTGGAGCAGAGCCTGTTGGGGATAGTGGGTACAAGCTGCCTGCTTCGGGCTTCCTGCCTGCTGGGCCTCAGCAGCCCAGTGGGTGGGACCCAGTGTAGCTGGGCAGAGTGGGGAAACTCGCTGCTTTTGGGAGCTCCATGCTACCAAGGCAAGGTGCCCCCTGCTCACCTGGCAGCAGCAAGGAGCACAATTCTGCACTGTCACCCCTGCTGCTGCCAAACATGCAAGGGGTGCTTTACCAGGGTAGTTCAGGGCTTGCAGCAGCAAAGAGTTTCCCTGCCCTGCTCTGCCCTGCCACTCTGGGTCCCACCAGCTGGGCCGCAGAGGCCCCAGGAGGAGGGCAGCAGGGTGGGAAGCCTGCGTCTGCAGTGGGCAGCCTGTGTCTGCCCTGCACACAGATCTGGGGGGCATCTGCCTGCCCCCTGGGAGTGCATGCAGTGGTGGGGAGCCAGCCCCCCAAGCCATCCATGGCTCCATCCTGCTTCTGGAGGAGACCCTGCAGCCACACATTCCAGACCCAGGCCCCAAGCCTCCCACACCACCCAGACTGGGCTGTAATGCTGCCAGCCTTTGCAGAAGTGGAAAAATCCGTGTATTACTCCATTAAAATGAAAATTCTGCATTTTTCCTCAGTTAAATGTGAAAAAAAAAAATCGGTCATTTTTTCCCCCATTTTGCCACAGGAAACTGAAAACTTGGCATAAAAAATTGGCATTTGAGTTTCCTTTACTTTCTCAAAAGCTTGCACATTCATAGGTCTCAGGTATTTTCCCCTTTTTCTCCACAATCCATTTCTATGGCCAACATGGTCTCTGAAGATATATCCCTGAGTTTTTGTCCTGTCTTCTCTGCTGCTCTATTTTACATGTATAATTTATTGTTTGTAAAAGTTACTGTTAATGAAATATCCAGAACTGAATATTCTATTCTACGTTGTAGCCCTTGTGTCATGCTCAGAGGGACTCAATGCCCCAATAATACAAATACTGAATACACTCAAAAATCCGTTTCGCTACCATATTGCATTCCTAGTTCAAATCTGATTTGATGCTTAGGTCTCTTCATGGTCTAATGCGTTTCTCCTAGTGAACATCTATCTGTTTTTCGTTATTCTTCCTCAGTTCTATTAGCTTGCACTTCCCAGAAGATTAATTTCATCTAATAAATCCAGACTTCTTTATCTCTTCCTATACTTCTGATCTTTGGCTTTAATTCTTTTAGATTCTACTTTTCCACTATACTAAATAGGGCCAGAACTTATACAAAACACTGCTGGAATCATACAGATTTCTTCTTTCTGCCATAGCCCTCATCTTGTCCTATGATTTTGCACACAATTCACTTCTGCTTCAACTGCTTAAACGTATACACAGCTTTAATTCTCTAAACTTTCCTTACCTAATTAAAGAGTTACAAGTCTAATATTAAGCTAATTTCTTTTAGAAGCATGTGTGATTGAAGTCATCTTATTTCCAGTTTCTTAACTGATAAAATATAAAATCACCAACCTGATGGAATATAAGCAACCAATCCTCTCTCACTGAATATAAATTAAAGAAATATAGGGAGGCCATTATCCTTTTTAATTAATATTTGCTATGATACTAAGTCCCTTCAGTCATATATGAACATGTTCCAGAGGTAGCATAAATTCAACATGTTATAAGTGAAAACTCTTTGTTCTACTATTCTACATAAAACAGGTACACGTATAAAGAAAGCAGGCAATCTTCCAATCAGAGAAGATCTAGATCTGCTGCGTTTGCATCCTATATTACAGTTGACTTTTA